AGAAAGCTCGATATCGAGCGTCCCTCTTATACAAACCTGAACAGGTTAATGAGTCAAATTGTGTCCTCCATCACTGCCTCCCTTCGTTTTTATGGTGCCCTCAATGTTGATCTGACAGAGTTCCAGACCAACTTGGTGCCCTATCCCCGTATCCACTTCCCTCTGGCCACCTATGCCCCTGTCATCTCCACGGAAAAAGCGTACCATGAGCAGCTCTCGGTGGCAGAAATAACTAATTCCTGTTTCGAGCCAGCCAATCAGTTGGTGAAATGCAACCCACGCCGCGGTAAATACATGGCCTGCTGCCTTTTGAATCGTGGTGATGTCGTTCCCAAAGATGTGAACGCTGCCATTGCCACCATCAAAACCAAGCGCTCCATCCAGTTTGTGGACTGGTGCCCCACTGGTTTCAAGGTGGGCATCAACTACCAGCCGCCCACTGTAGTTCCTGGTGGAGACCTGGCCAAGGTCCAGAGGGCTGTGTGCATGCTGAGCAACACCACTGCTATTGTAGAGGCCTGGGCTCGGCTTGACTTGACCACAAGTTTGATCTGATGTACGCTAAGCGTGCCTTTGTGCACTGGTATGTGGGTGAGGGTATGGAGGAGGGAGAGTTCTCTGAGGCCAGGGAGGACATGGCCGCTCTGGAGAAAGATTACGAGGAGGTTGGAGCTGATAGCCTGGGAGATGAGGAGGAAGGAGAGGAGTATTAGAAATGCAAACATTCTGCTTTATTGATCTCTGATCCATGCTCTTTTATTATTATGTCAAGAAAATAAAGTTGTTGACTGAACCTATGCTTTCCTCTTGTCAATACATACACTGTTAAACATTACCTATCTGCCTAGATGGGTTGTATGTATTCACTTGCTCAGTTCAATCAAAAATGTTTTCACACAGAGATGCTATTGCTCAATTCAGTCACTTGGAGGCAGTGGTGTTTAACATGTAAATATATTTTCTCTGAACAGACCAGGCATGGCAATCTAGTTAAATGCTGGATTAATCACAAAATTATTTCTCAACATCAGATGATTCAAGAGTACCATTTGCATATCTTAAATTTACTTATTTAAGATTGGATTTGTGCTTTACGTGAGAAGAACAGAGTCCTAACCCCGGCCTGATCTAAAATAGGGTGTGGTATTCACTCTGGCCCAAGGGAGGGATAGTAGTGAAGCGGGGGGGGTGGGGCTCTCATGCTGGCAGACGAGTGGTGTTTAAAAATACTTAGTTCTGCTGTTCCCAGACTGGAAAATGAATGAAACTGAAAGCAATACATTAGGAACCATGTAAAGCCAACATTGAAAAAGGCTAAATAGTGTCACAGGTTTTGTAAATGTTTTTTTTATTTTCAGTTCTGTAATCATTCACCATGTGTTACAAATAAATGCTTTTTCTTGACATTAAGCAGGGATATTTAATGTCATTAAAACAAAAATGTCTACATTCTACAATACACTGACCTAAATGAATACATTCCTATTGCACTTTCAATTGCCTCTTTGGTAGTTCAGGGATTTTGTACATTTATGATCTGTTATTGGGCAGAAACGCATGTCAAATAAGAAATGTATTAAAGCTAACTTAATGTAAAATGTCACTTTATGCGTTAGAACAACTCCCAACCAGTTTGTTCATTTGCAAAGGAAATTAATCTTAAAACCTTTGTTCTTCTGAAAAACAATGTGTTAAATGGCTAAAAGATAATATAGCATATCTGGAGGGTGCTCTTCTAAGACATGGAGTTAAGAACCATTCAATATGTTTTTCTCCATCTCCCAATCATGAGGTAATTGGACTGCTTGGGAAATAAAATGTAGCTTTGCATAACTGCCTCTGACAAAAAAAATCAATCAACAGTATATTTTGAATGCTGAAAAGATGTGCACCTCAAAATGATACAAAAATACAGACGCATACACACACGGTGCCCTCATGCGTACACAAGTTGACGTATTTGGCTCTACTAAAACACCCTGAAAATAAGGCATTGTGAATCAGAACGGACGGTTTACTACACTAAAACATACATCAAATTGTTCACAGGCCAAAACATCCCCTTCTGTTGTGTATCGATGTAAATTGAGGAACTTACAGTGATTGTTTTTTTTTTATTAACATAAATCCTTTCTCTTGTTTGCTCATTCTATTGCAAAACATACACAGCTCTTATTAATTAAAGTGAAGTACAGTGCATACATCCCTGCACTTTTGGTTAACAGTCTAACATTGATTTCCTCAATTTATAAATTGACAGGCTCTGTAATTATACCATAACCTTTTATCGTCTTCCTATACAGATTTACTTACTATCTATATATCAGGATTAAAGAAAAATGAATCTGGTTGATTTTTTATTTCCAGGATTTAAAGTTCAAACCCAGGCCTAAAACCTGGCAAATCATAAGCAAGTGACTAATATATAAAACAAATGTAATATTGGATAAAAATACTACACCAAATGGACAGACACAGACTAAACATAAAGTCCCCTAGTTTGTCTCTAGTCTAACTGTCATGAGAAAAATCAGATCATTGTTCCACAATCCGCCACTAGATGTCGCTCATTGTACCAATACGGTTTATATAATACATAGGCTACCTATTATTATTATTATTATTATTATTATTAATATCATTATTATAGTAAAAGGGCTCGCTTTGGCAAAAATCCTGATCCATACAGGCAGTGCAGCCCTAAATAATAACAAGTAACCATCATGTGTGGTGCTATCTGTAGTTGTCTGTCTTATTTTTTGTTGATTTCATATTGTTTTCACAGTGCTGTGGAAATGAATTTTCCCCTGGGGACAATAAATCTAATCTAAACTAATGTAATATTCAATCCCACACTTGGCGATTGAGAACATACATTCGTAATTTACCTCGTTTAAAGCACTTTTTTTGTAATACTATGGATTTAGTTGACACTGTCACTACCCGATCTGCCCGATCTGCAGTGCGCATGTGCGAGATGGTCCGCCATATTGGACAACTCCCAACGGCAACCCAAGTAGGACAACATTGACACAGTGGCTTTTGGCAAAGCTCAAAAGGAAAACTCGAGAGAGATGAGTTATTGTTATTACAACGTGACTTCACTATTATTTAACAACTCTTTTTATTTGGGGTTAAGTACATTGTCAGAATAAGTGAGAAATGGATTTAACTTCTGTTACAGCTATCATACTGAATACATATTTACTGTGAATGTGTGCAAAAATGTATGGCATATGGCTGTATAACAGAAGTTAAATTCATTTCTCACTTATTCTGACAATGTACTGAACCCAATAAAAAGAGTTGTTAAATAATAGTGAAGTCACGTTGTAATAACAATAACTCATCTCTCTCGAGTTTTCTTTTTGAGCTTTGCCAAAAGCCACTGTGTCAATATTGTCCTACTTGGGTTGCCGTCCGGAGTTGTCCAATATGGCGGACCATCTCGCACATGCGCACTGCAGATCGGGCAGTGACAGTCATAGATATATATATATAAACACTAGATGACTCACCCGCGCTGCTGGCCAATGGAGACCGACGTTGCCACTTGGCCGCCATCTTGCTACAGGCAGTTCTCTCATTCATAACATTATGGTTTACTATTTAAATAACCATAGCTTGCTCAATTTTCAAACGGTTTGGTTTTTTATAAACATCAAAGATGTAGTTATGATACTGTATACTTATAATCATGGACTTTCTTATGAAAATAACATTAAGCAGATAAAGCAATAGCTATACACACACACAAGGTATTTATATTAAATATTTGCCGGTGTATATATTTCCATTTATTTGTATTATATTGTTAATATTTAAAATAAATTATAAAATTAAAATATATTTATATTTTATATATAAAAATCGGTCTCATGTTACCACTCTGTAAGCCAAGAGTTGTTAATTTAGCAATGCCTTAGCTTTAAGAATAGGGACACAACTAATGACAATAGCATATGGTGGTATATTATTTAGATATTCACACCTTTATCAGAAGAACCAAACCAACATAAAATGAGCTCACAGACAGGCTAGTTCTGTCTCTTATCACAATTATACGAATATATAAATAATAGTAATATGGAAATTAATAAGTTACTTTTTTAACAATTCAATGTTCACTTATCAATACTGTGAGCCTGATTTTTCTTACATTCTCCAACAGAAAACACAACTCAACGTACTTTTAAGAAATTGATCTTAATAGGCTTTTCCCCTTATAAGGCAAACATATGTTTTGAGGCTCTGGACAAAAATGGTTATTTTGATTGTAAAGGTTGCCAATCCCTGGGTGTAATTTCAATGTTTGCACATGTTTATTCAAGTGTATGAGTGACATAGAGCAAGTGAGATGGCCAGTGGTTCTCAAACCTTTTACACAGAGTACCACCTCAAATTATATTGGGCTCTCCTAGTAACACCATCATAGACCTTCCTGGGTACCACCGAGATAAAGGATTTAATATGACAAGCCATATGATGCTCTTATTTGTTAGTGACATTCCACATGCAAATAAAACAAGATAAGATGGTACTTTATTGATCCCAATTTGGGAAAACATTTTTAGTTACAGCAGCATAAGGGACAAAGCATTTTACAATGAATTAGAAATAAGCAAGAAAAAGAAAGAAAAGAAAGAAAGAAGAAAATATACATGTTGAGTTTGGCAGGATATTATATATATATATAATATACATAAATATAAGGCATATGGAATATTAATGTTACATATTAAATAGATTATATATGTGTAAAATGTACAATGTGGTTATATTCAAGAGAAACTATGGAGCAGAGAGTTATCTTCCAGCCAGAGGTGATTTGTTGAGTTATGGCACTGCGGAGCTGCAGCAGTCTGTTGGAGAAGGAGCTCCGTTGACTGTCCAGCTGCAGGTGGTGAGGATGGGTGGGGTTATCCATGATGGACAACAACCTGTTCAGTGTCCTCCTCTCCACCACAGCTTCAAAGGGGTCCAGCTTGATGCCGATGACAGACCCAGCTTTCCTAATTAGTTTATTGATCCTGCTGGTGTCACCGGCTCTGATGCTGCCCCCCCAGCAGACCGGAGCAAAGAAGAGTGCACTGGCCACAACAGACCGGTAGAAGATCTCCAGCATCTTACTGCACACGTGGAAGTATCTCAGCTCAGAAAATAGAGTCTGCTCATCCCCTTCTTGTGCACAGCATCAGTGTTGATCCTCCAGTTCAGTCCGTTGTCTAAGTGCACTCCCAGGTATTTGTAGTCCTCCACAACAGCCACATCCTCTCCCAGAATGCACAGGGGTAGAAGAGATGTCCTCACCCTCCTGAAATCAATGACCATCTCTCTGGTCTTGGCCACATTCAGAATACTCACAACATTAGGCTGAGGTTCATCTTCCGCTCTTCTTGAAGTGGTTGTGCTTCTTGTTGCTTCCGGCTAAAATAAACATAATTAAAGACATTTTGAGTGTTTAAAATGTGCTGTAATACACAACACATTATTTATTCCTAAACTTGCAGAAAGAAAAACTAAAGTGTGACATTTAATCACATATTTATCAATCAATCTTATACACCTTGAATTCTTGTTGGCCAATGATACACATACCCTTTGAAGATGAGCTGGGAAATTGAATACTGTTGGCACAATACCATCTTTAAGCCGGACAGTCTGCCCCGTCCTGTCAAAGTCCTCACTCCTGAAGTACTCACTGCAGAGCAGCGTCCTGCCAGAGGAAACAAAACCGTCCCTTCTTAGGGCGAGTTCCCACTGCCTCCTCCTCTCTCCGGTTTTGGGAAACCTTAAAAACATGAGAAAGGTAGCCAGATATATAAATTATTGTCAACATTGTCCGCCCTTCTTTCCTTTAACATTAAGGGTAAGGACAAAAATACACACCGAAATTATCATATTTTTGGGGTAATTGTATGTATGTATGTATGTATGTATGTAATGTATGTATGTATACTTTAAGAATAAGACAACCACACTAAGAGTAATAAAAAAGGTGTCCAAAAGAAACATTACATAATTGTGTAAAGAAATGGTAGCAACATATTCTAAAGAGGCTGGGTCAACATCAATCTTGCAATACTATTATCTCACATAGCCCCACTGATCCTGTGTAGCAGGACTTGTAATGTACATACATCCACTAAATAATTAACGATTATCCTAATTATAGTCATAATATTGTCATATCTTACACGTGATTCCACGGGTTCTTGTTTGCAGACTGCGGCGATTAGAGCAGCCGTAGGCTGCACAAAAGTCAGGCATAGTCAGGTACTTCTGTAAACACAAAGCCAGCAATTTCCTGTATCATAATGTATCTAAAAATGTAAGATGTTTTTAACAAGCCAAACCACTTGGAATAAATCATGTGTAACTTAAGTTATGTTGAAAAGAAAGAGCAGTTCTGCCTCTCCCACTGGTGTAAAGTTGCTGGGTGAATTTTGTAATACTAGGTCTCACTCACAGCCTCTTGTTATTAGCCAGCTAATAAATACAACCACATACACAAAGAAAAGCTGCAATTTCAACATGTCCAAGCATCCTGTATCATAGCCATGCTAATAACGTTTATAATAAACAAAACCGTTTGTAAATCAGTCAAGATTTCAGCGATTTAAGAGTATTTGTGTGCAGATCACTCACCTTACAACAGCTACCATAGCGCGTACCAGAGTAGCTGTTGACTGTAGCAAGATGGCGGCCGGTGAGCTACGCTGGAAAATCTCCCATGAGCCATCTAGTGTTTATATATATCTATGGTGACAGTGACCATGGATGTATAATAAGAACTGGATACAGCGTGGGAGGCGGGGCCTCATTAATTCCTATGAGAGCTGCTCATTAGCGCATGATGATAAAATGGCCCACCTTTTGAGAGAGTGAAACATCACAGATTACCCAGCATGCCTGAGAAGTACCCGTATGTGCGCTCATAGAGCATGCGCAACTTTAACCAAAATGCTCGTTCACATCAAGCACGTCAATTTGCGTACACGTAACAGCACCGCGCGTTCATGACAGCATGGTAATGGATTGTTGTTAGCAGCTAGCGGCTAGCTAGTAATGATGCTAATAATGTACACATCAATCGTTATGTACTTATATTACGCTGTAACAGGATCTAGTGATATCCAACAGAGCTTCATTTAGCATGAAATAATTATTGCACTGTATATATATATATTTATATACAGTGCAATAAGCTTCTTAGTGCAATACGAAGCTACAGGGACGTTAATAATGTCGGTAATATTAACTTTATTTAATACAACATTTACGGTACAAGATTTAATCATACAGCCCATGTAGTATGATAATGAATTACAGCAAACATGTGCAATATATCCATTATTACAGCTCCGTGGGATGGCAGTAAGACGATATGGATCCGTTCTTATTGTGCATCCATGGGTAAAGATAAACGCAACTCACATTGGTTTCTCATACAGCATCTCTGTAAACTACGTGTATTCACTGAATTTCACTCTCTGCCTTTAGTCAATCAAAGAACTAGATTCCTATACCGGATCTCCTCTCTGGTAAACAAAAACACCCTGAAAACTCTGGCAGGAGCACTCATTCAAGGGTACTATGACTATGCTTGCACGTCATGGTACTATAGCACCTCCAAGGCGCTAAAAATAAAACTTCAAACATCGCAAAATAAACTGGTCAGACTACTGCTTGACCTTTCATCTAGAACCCACCTCACCTCTGCCCACTTTGACAATCTAGGATGGCTTAGAGTAGACGACAGAGTACAGCTACTTGCAATGGGACTGGTCTACAAGATCCACTACACCTCTATGGTACCCATGTACATGTCAAAATTCTTCCCAAAGGTCAAGGAATACCATGATCATAACACCAGAGGGAGCTCCACAAATCATGTGAAACCCAGATTTGGCACAAAAAAGGGGGAATACACGTTTCGCAATTATGCCACATCAAGGTGGAACGCTCTTCCCACAACTGTAAAGGAAAGTAAAACTATACTTACCTTCAAAACCTCTCTTAAAGAGCACCTTCGGGGGAGAGCATTGCAAAACTGGCCCCGGTAATGGTACAAATCTCAACCTGTCGTTCAATGGACAGCTTCCCCCCCCCCCCCCCCCCCCCCCCCCATCTATGTATATACTCGCATTTTAGACTCTGTTACTAACTGTATATCTGTAGACTTGGTATGTCTTAAATGTCCGGTTAGGATGTATTAGAACGAAATCTAAAATGAAAATTGTAAATAAGCAATCTGTATGTAAAAAACCACCTGTATGTAAATTGTAAATAAGCCATCTGTATGTCAAATATGTCTTATATGTCTTAAATGACATGATGAATTGGAAATGGGGGACCCTGATGTAAACAAGACGAAAGTCTTTCTCTGGTCTGCATCCCCTTAACAATTGTATGTTTTGAGCTGTACTGTACTGTACCCAATATACAAGCTGTTAATAAACTTTTCAATCAATCAATCAATCAAACGGCTCGTTGTAGCTCCAATAGCTTCAGCCCCCACCCTCCCTGTGAGCACAGTGTGCTCTGATTGGTCGGGACACGTAACATGAACGTGCCGGGCGGCGCGGTCCCGTGGGTTAGATGCGCGTTCATAATGCAGAGGGAAATAACTCTCAGAATAACGTTATTAGCACATTTTTACAACTTGAGGAACAAATGTTTTTAATAAGGGCTATACAAGTGTTCATACTGGGTAGTTTATTTAGTTTAAAAAAAATTATCCAACGAGTTACAGACCACTCTTTCCCCCCTAAGTCAATGGGAAAAAGTGTTTCCGGGCCTGGCAACCAAACGGAAGTGTAGTACCGCCGTTTGGCCAGCACGAATATTTTCATCTGAGTCCGGCGCACTTCCTGGGGGCTTGGTAGTGACAGACAGCCGAGTTTCTTTTGTCCAATATTTTTGCGGGAAGGTACATTGAATTAGAAGTAGAAGAAGAAGAAGAAGTAGAGAAGAAGAAGTAGTAGAAGAAGAAATACGCTAACGCTACAAACCAAGCCCCCAGGAAGTGCGCCGGAGTCTGATGAGAATATTCGTAGTGGCCAAACGGCGGTACTACACTTCCGTTTGGTTGCTGGGCCCGGAAACACGTTCATGTTTATGTTTATGTTTATTTTAGAAATGTTTTGGCACATTTGTTCCAATTCTGCTAATGGTATATTGCAGGATATTTAAGTCTCCCATGTACTTTTTAAATTAATAATAGTATGTTCATCTTGATGTTTAACTTGTAATATTGTAATCATCTTAGTTAGAAATGCTGTTTCCACCCCATCCTCTGCTGCTGAATGATTTTATATATTGTTACTTAAAGTGCTTGTCTTTGATATTATAATGATTACACCAGAAAGTCACTCTTTGTGAGATGTATTTGTTCACATTTTTCCCAGCCAAAAGATGATGTTCATTCATTGGAGGCCTCAAAGCTGGGTGAAGGTATTGATGCACGGATCAATGCAATCCTTTACAACAGCATTCCACTATGGTTGGGGATGTCTGTAAAAAAAGGAGAAATAATCTTAAACCAAATAAGTGTCGCAATATAGGGAAACAAACTGACAAAAACATCAATTAGATCAGAATACATTTACATTGTTACAGCAGAAAAGAGCCAAAGACAGCCTAATGTTACTTAAAGTATGCATAAAAAAAGTATTAAAGATTCAAAACAAGAAATTATAATTTAAAAAAATACACATTTCACAAAATACACATCCAGCAACAACAGTTTGGAGGATTTAGCAGCCTGGTATATTACACAGTTTTAGCGGCATATTTATATATATATGTATAAATATATATATATATACACATGGTTGGTATTTAACAACAAGGGGTGTTGTACTGTGATATTGGTATTTATGGGAACATTTTACACCTTTCCTTCAAGTATTATACGTTTTAGTTACTTGTGGGCTACTTAACATGAATAATCACAGTTACTATCCTTTTACTCCATCACATTTCAAAAATAAATAGGATATTGTTATTTTAACTCCACCACAGTAATCCATCATCAGCTTTACTTTTAGATAAAGTTTTAACTCACAATTGATCATAACAGGCTTCAACATATACATTTGTATATATTACCAAGTGGTTTCATGTACACAAGTATCATGCTAAATGAAGCTCTGTTGCTTGGATATCACTAGATCCTGATGTCAGCGTAATATAAAAGTACATAACGATTGATGTGTAAGTTAGCATCATTTACTAGCTAGCCGCTAGCGGCTAACTGCCGCCTCGTTAATATAAATCCAGTAGGCTACCATGCTGTCATGAACGCGCGGTGCTGTTACGTGTACGCAAATTCACGTGCTTAATGTGAACGAGCCTTTTGGGCGGCGTGGTTAAAGTTGCGCATGCGCTATGAGCGCACATACGGGTACTTCTCAGGCATGCCGGGTAATCTGTGACGTTTCGCTCACTCAAAGGTTGGGCCATTTTGTCATCATGCGCTAATGAGCAACTCTCATAGGAATGAATGAGGCCCCGCCTCCCACGCTGTATCCAGTTCTTATTATACATCCATGCTACAAACAGGCACAACACTGTGGCCGTTTCTCAATCTCGAGGATACTGGTTTCCAAGCCAATATTTCAAGGATGCTACGTCATCGAGTGCCGCCGAAGTACTGTTCCAATCTCCAGCATACTTGGAATTCCACCGAGGCCGCGTCCTTGGTTTGGGGTAGTGGGCGTTGGACGCGGGGGTACGCCGTACCCCCACTTATTTGGAGCATGATCTTTTTTTTAATAGTCTAATAAATATAAAATCATTGCCAGTCTTATCAGTTGCAAGTGTGTATTTGTTGTAATAATGACAAAAACATAATACATTTCACAGTAATGGCCTATAATAAAAAATAAAAACGATTTCCTTCAAAAATGATGATTCGTCATCACGCTCGTGACCCCGCAGCGAGCTGGGGGTGTGTCAGTGACACGCCCACGCCAGCTCACCGCCTGCCGATTTTGCGGCAGCTCTTTCCCTCAAGAACGCTAACGAAAAAGCTCTATAATGGAAGGAAAACGTTTTTTACTTGACTTCTTTTCTAAAAAGAATATAATTCACAAGAAGAAAGAGGCTAGCAACACCGAAGCTACAAGTGAAGCTGCTACTAGCACTACATCACCAGAAGAGCCGCCTAAAGACGTGGATAATGCTAGCTAACGTGCACGTTAGCTGCGCTAGCAACGTTCCCCTGGCTAGCTCAAGTTCATCTTTCCCAGAGGTATGGACGGAGGAGATGTGGAAACAAGAGGCTACCCGTGGATAGACTGCAAAGCTGGGAAACTGGGCTGCTGTTCATCCATTTCGGATTTATCAGTCTTCAAAACGCAAGGTGTGTGTGTGTGTGGTGTGTGTGTGTGTGTGTGTGTGTGTGTGTGTGTGGTGTGTGTGTGTGTGTGTGTGTGTGTGTGTGTGTGTGTGTGTGTGTGTGTGTGTGTGTGTGTGTGTGTGTGTGTGTGTGTGTGTGTGTGTGTGTGTGTTGTGTGTGTGTGTATGTGTGTCTCTGTGTGTGTGTGTTGTGTGTGTTGTGAAGCAGCGCTGTCTGCTTATTTGCAATGTAGGCTAGGCCTAATCAGCATAATTTCAAGTCCAGATTCAATGTTTGCATTAGTAGGCTATATTTTTCGTTTCGTTTATTTAATAAGTTAATTTCAGGACAACTTTGGGAATTGTGTTTGTTTGTTATGAGTTTTAAATAGATTTTGAAAGTGGAGATAGAGAGAAGCAGCGCTGTCTGCTTAGTTGTAGCTTATGCAATTTAGGCCTATAAATTGTTGTAATTTATGTGCCAGTGTATCCATGGTTTTGAGTCTGTGTGTGTGTTGAGCGCAGCGCCGTCTGCTTTTT